TGCCCCTCCTATCACAGAAGGGGTGGGGTGATGAGGATCGAAACCGTGTGATGGAAACTAACATTTCCTCCACTCCTTGATCCTCTATAATTATACCTCTTTTACTTTCTCCTTTTTTATACATAGTTTAAACACATGTTTTCACATTTATTCTTTTATAATTATTACTTCATTATATTTTATCTTACTACACCCACTCATATCTAGTAAGATCATCTCCAATGGTAACCTAATTCTCAAATAAGCTTGTTATGCTACATAAGATTTTAAGCTAATATTTTGTGTAGCTATTTTGTGCCCCAATGGTTAGCTAATTAATGGCTTGCTATTTAAATGAACTTAACTTTCTCAATTATCTATAAAATTTAATTATATTAGTAAATTAATCTCTAAATTTTTCTCAAGCAAATTAGCTTGACAAGCTAATTGTATTTTTTAGCTCCAATGGTTAAGCTAACAGATAGAGATTTTTGGAAATTGCAAGCAAGTCCTTAGCTACAACCATTGGAGTTAGGATTGTGATCCATATTTCATATTCCCTCATACTTATTACTAGCTACCTCAATTAGTTACATATAACTATGTGCAACAAAAAATTATGCTTGTGCACCAACACTGCTAGCAAGCAAAATTTGTTAAGTGTTGTTTAAGAAGGTAAAGGGCATTTGAGTAAGAAATGTTATTTGATGAGCATTATTTGTGAAAAACAAATTTTGTTTCTCAAAACAAATGATCAAAATTACACTTTTGTACACACATTTATACCTTCTTATGTCCAAAAAAAAAATATAAAAAAAAAAAATAAAAAAAAAATAAAAATCTACTTTAGTTGTTACTGAAAACTTTCAGATCTAGCTAATTCAATTTCCAATTATAAAGAAGGAATCCAGCATAAATTATGCAAAGTTGTGTAAAAGAAACGAGGAACTCTCATGCACCATCAACCTCATGCTTTACAAGACACATTTGTCTCGTCAAATCTGCCAATATTTGATCATAATCTCTCAAAACAATACGTCTTTACAATGAAGCACACGATTGTACGTAATAATAAGCACAAGATTGAGGAATAAAAAAGTTAACTTTATAAAAGATGCTCTAGCTCAGGTCATCCAACGTTATATTAAACTTTATCAAAGTACTACTCCCTTCGTGTTTTTTTAAGTGTTACACTTATCAAATCCGGTCTTGTTTTAATATGTGTTACACTTCCATTTTTGGCAAAAAACTACATTAAAATATTATATCTATTTCCTCTCATGGTCCCCACCCAAACCAACTACTACCCTTTTTTTTTTAATTATATCTCTCCTCTCACATTCATTATTTTTCAATAAAATATTAACTCCACTATTTTTCTTTTACAATTTTTTAATACTCCAACTACCCCACTTACCTCTTATTTTATTTAAGTCAATTAAATTGCCTAAAACTATGTGTCGCTCAAACTGTAACACTTAAAAAAACATGGAGGGAGTAGTTTAAATTTGGAAATTAATGACAAATTCACACATCAATTATTGTTATTGTCATTGATTAATGCTATACTAATTTAGTTTTCTTTTGAGAGTGAGAAATAGCTCAAGTGGTAAGAGCTCCCTTCCGAGTTCAAGAGATTCTGGAATCGATTCTGACCCTCGCCCTTGTAGTTCCCTAAAAAAAAACAAAAAAAACAAACTTAGTTTTTTTTTATTTATTAGCAACTTATTGATGCAGCAGGCCACACTATGCGGCAAGGGTTACCCGGGTTTCTATGTTAGGGGTTATTTGAGTTTTTTTTGTCATGGGTTACCCGACTTACTCGGTCAGGGGTTACTTGAAGGGTTCAAACAGGGGTTACTCGAGGGGTTCACTTGGTCAAGGGTTACTCAGTCAAAGATTATTTGAGTTACTCGGTTAGAGGTTACTCGGTCATGGGTAACTTAAATTGATCGTTCAAGAATTAGTTGAGTTACTCAATCAAGGGTTATTTAAAGACTTCGGTCAGGGGTTATTGGAGTAATTCGATCAGGGGTTACTTAAGTAGCTTGGTCAAGGGTTGCTTGAAGGTTCATCCTGGGGTTACTAAGTCAGGGGGTTAGTTAAGGGGTTACTCATTTCGGGGTTACTCGAGGGGTTTGTTCATGGATTACTCGAGGGGTTACTCAGTCAGGGGTTACTTGAGGGGTTACTCGGTCAAGAGTAACTCAAGTTACCCCTAACCAAGTAACTTGAGTAACCCCTGACCGAGAAACTCGAGTAATCCCGGCAACTAGAGTAACCCCTGACCGAGAAACTCAAGTGACCCCCGACTGTGAAACTCGAGTAACCCATGGCCAAGAAACTCGAATATTCCCAAAAACTCAAGTAACCCTTGACCAAGTAACTTGAGTAACCCCTGACCAAGAAACTCGAGTAATCTCGCAACTCGATTAACCCTTGACCGAGAAACTCAAGTGACATATGACCGTGAAACTCGAGTAACTCATGACCAAGAAACTCGAATAACCCCATTAACTCAAGTAACCCCTGACCGAGAAACTCAAGTGACCCTTGCCGTACGATACAACAGGCCGCATACAAAAAATTGTGTTTATTTATATTGGAGTATTAGGAATTGAGGAAGGTTCAAATGACAAAAAAAAAAAAAAAGGAATTTTTTTTGAAAATAACACCATAAATTTCTAAAAAAATGGATCATGTATTTTCAAAATTTTATAATAACACCTCATAAAAACCCAAAAATTGGATTTCACAACCGTTTAAATGGATTCTTGGATGAAATCCGTTAAGTGGGGGCCACGCTACCACATGTCACCATATTATTGGTTTTTTTTTTAAAAAATAAATAAATATAAATAAATAAATAAATAAATAAAAATCCCAAAAATACACCCAGCCACCCCCATCCCTACCACCGGTACCCCTTCCACGCCGGAACCCCCCATATGACACACCTACAACCACCGAAATCCATCGTATCCACAACCATCGAAACCCAAAGCAATTTCGACAATCACCACCGCATTTTTAGACTCCCCGAGAATAAAACAAAAGTTAGAGGTCTAAATCGACCGATTTAAGGTCGAATTCGACAATCATTCAGGCCCTAAACTGGCCGATTTCAACCCACTAGTGGCCGTTTTGATGGTGGCTGTGAGTTGTGTGCGATTTTGGTTGCTAGGGTTTAGGGAATTGGGGGTTGGGGTTCGATTCTTACGGTGGTTAGCAACCCACAAATCAACAATTGCAGCCTCGATTAAGGGGGGGGGGGTGGTTTTCAGGGAGGAGGAAGGTGTAGGGGTAGTTAGGCTGGTTTCGCTGGTTTTGGTGGGGGATGGGGGTGTCGGCGGCTGGGGCCGGTGGTGGAGCTGGCTGGGTTAAGGTTTTTTATATATATATTATTTTTTGTTGAAATTATTCTTAACCAATAGATTTATGACACGTGTCTGTTAATGGCGAATTAACGGATTTCATCCAAGAATCCGTTAAATGGTGATGAAATCCAATTTTAGGGTTTTTATGTGGTGTTATGATAAAAATTTGAAAATATATGGTGTTATAATCCATTTTTTGAGATTTTTGTGGTTTTATTTTCAAAAATTTCCTAGAATAAATTCACTGAAATTATTGAGAAGCTAAAAATATTAAGTAATAAGAATTCATGACAAAATCACAAGGAAATCGGTGTAATTAATGTTATTTTACTTTCAGTATTTCCTTTTTAACAACTTATCCACAGCCCTAAGGGCTATGTTTATCCTTTTCTTTAATACTCCCTACGTCCCTTAATACAAAGCATCTTTCTCTTTATTATGTGCTACAAAGAGGCTTTGTATTAAGGGACGGAGGGAGTATATACACTTTGTGATAGTAGAAAACACAAATAATGCAATTGTGTATTTGTTTAGTTATTTTATTACACTTTGAAATAGTGGAAAAAATAAATAAATAATTATGCATTTTTTACATAAAAATAATTGGAACTTCTTAGATTTCAAATGAGATTATATTTCTATCCAAAAAATATGATATTAAAAGAATTGAAGATCCTAATAGGAATAACAGTTTGAATGAAATTTTCTAATGAGAAACACCAGTAATTAAAACAAAAAGCGTGAGGGAGTAATTCCTTTTTTTTTTCTTTTTTTATAATAATAATTTTATACGCAAACCAACGCTAAACATGTTTAAATAGATTTAATTTTATAAAATACCCTTTGTTTTTGAATTTGGTGGTCTTCCCTTGCTTTTGTATTACTAAATGTGCCCTTAATTAATTCATACATACGATCTACGAGTAGATCGCATTTCTAATTTTGAACACCTAGAATATTATTATTATACTTCAAAATTTAGCAATGGATGAAATTTTAATGTTGTTGTAAAAACAACATAGTGAGACTATTGTACACAAATTTATACTTTCTCCGTTTTATTAATATTGTAACAATGAACTTTTTGTACTATTTATCACACTTTGACCATATAATGTGATTTATACACTAAGCAACTTATAGTCAAATGAGATTTTGTTGGATCTGTCTCATAAAATACTTTCATAGTATTAACTTTTTATAATTTTTACTCTTAAATAAGTATAGATACTAATATTTAGCATATAAAATGACCTTTGAGATGCCTAATTTCATCTTTATTGCTATATTAATAGAATAAAAGAATGACATAACTTAAAAGGTCCTTCAATCAAATTATACGTGACGGATTATTCACTTACTCGACACAAAGGGGTAATAAAACTTTATTTATTTCCTCAGTCAAGATAATCAAAAGTACTGGCCCATGGTTTTTGTCCAGTTTTTAACTTAAAACAGCATATAACATTAATGTCATGAGCTTTTAGACCACTAAATAAAATTTGCTTCAGTGTATATAGTATTCACATCATAATAAACGAGGCAAAATACATATAACAAAGTATTTAGGTACCTTTTTGCTATAACCTTCACCAGTTAATGAATGCAAGAGAATATATTCTTAGCTCATTATTCTAGTGCTATAAATTTAAGTATGCTGATCAAGAATAGCTTAAGCGTTTTTCAGTGATCACTAAACATCAAATTTCTCTCTATATAAGCATAACATCGAGTTTATTTAGTAGATTATATCTTCGTTAATTTTGTTGTTTGAGATATGTCAAGGACTACCAAGCTCGTCGCACTGATGAACATTACACGACTAAGGTGATCCTATAAACTATTCTTTCCATAAACTTCGAATGTATGTAGTCAATAATCGATCTAATGATTTGATAGTTTCTTGCTTATACTATTCGTTATATTACGGTGCATAATATTGCATATAAGTACGTATACAACTAATTAACTTGTCTATCATTTACGCCATTACAATATGGCTTGTCTATTAATTCCAAGTCTATTTAAAGGGACGATGTTATGGTTAGCTTATCAAATTTACATGCTAATGTGGTAGTAAATGAATATCGTTAAACTTTACAATATTATCTAACATTTTTTTTTAATGTTGATTTTTATATAATTAACCTTTCTTCTCAAAATCCTAGGTTCTTTTGCTTTATATTTGAATAAAAAGATTTTGTTTAAATTACTTTCATATAAACTATACAAACATGCTCTAGTTTCTAGCACTGAGTATTAATACAAATTGTACGTATATATGTACAATATTTTCCGTATATACATTATAAACTTTTCATTACTATGCAGGGAAGCTAGGAAGCCTGGTCATCAACACCACTACATGAGCCGATTTGCTGCCGTACAGGCAGCAGAATACGATCAAGGCTTCGAAAGGGAACATACCAACATCGAAAGATTCGAGGAATATTACCTTAAAGAAGAGACAGTAGTAGGAGGAATAATGTCTAGCAATAAGAGTGACAATGAGAAAGAGGTGATGAAGGTGAACAAAGACTGGGTGCCACACCCACGTACCGGTATATACTTCCCCGAAGGACAAGATTGGGTGCTGAATGACGTCCCCGAAAACTCGGCTTCGCTAGGACATTCACAATATTGGCTAAGGAACATTCATGGAGCTGAAAAGCATGATCCTGATATGCTTTCAGCTGACCATTATTTCCTTACCCAACCTCATGAATGATTCATGCATGTATGTTAATTACTAATAGTATACTATACTAGTAATAAAGTTCCCTAGTTCATCTTCTGTCATAGGCTACTTTATTTTTAGAGTTTACTTCGTGACTGAGTAGAAAAGCTAATTAAGTAGATAAAAACTTATGCATGCAGTTTGTCCAACTATATACGTAGTATAACATTAACAAAATCTTTCCTACTATTTTATAGTCTGTTGTGGTTTCGTAGCGTTTCATATGCTCTAAATAAATCGAACTTAGAATTTTAAGCATTGCCATGGTTGTACATTTGTCAAATCCACATCATTCATTGATAAGTTGACTTGACAACAATCTACTATTTTAATTGCCATTAAATTAAAAATTAGCTCTATTAAAAAATTTTAAAATTTGTTCATTGCTATATCATATTCTCTTCATGTCTAATCTGTTTTTTTTTTTTTTTTTTTTTTTTTTTTTTTTTTTTTTTTTAACAACGGGTAAAAGGCGGCTAGCTCCCAACAGACTCGACGCAAGATTTAAAACTACAAACAAACTTAGACTTCTTCGCAGAGTTAGTAAAAACAGAAATCATCTAAGGGAGGGATATAATGAGATTGACTAATTCCAGTATGGATGTTAGACATGAGATACTCGAGATTTGATCCTTTACGTTTTCTCATCTTGCAAAACTGATTCCTATGATGAGAAACAGCTAGCTTCTTCCTCTTCCTCTTCCTTTTCTTCACATGCAACCTACCCAACCTTCTATTCTTCAAATTGTTGGAGTTAAAAATGAAGGTAACGGGGGTAGGGATGAGTGGCTCCTCCAGTTCCACTTCTAAACCCATGGGATCATCCTTATTAGATCCTACCGACTCCACTTAACCTGGATAAGTAATGTGGAAGTCGTTTATAAGTGTTTCGTTACTATTCTCGATGCATGTGGATGCATTGCTGTAGTTAGTGGTGCTTGAGTGTATGTGATCACCTGATTTTCCAAAATCAATAGTGGAAGGAGTGCCAGTGCCAACAAACTGGTCAACATCTAGTGGGGGGGGGGGGGGGGGGACCTTCTTCTTCTTCCTCCTGCGATTTTTCCTGTTGCTGTCTTTTTTTTCTACCGAACATACCATTTTCCTAGGCATCGACACAACATCTGGACTTGTGTTATCCATGTTAGTGAATTTTGAAGGGTGCCTATTCGGGGCAATCGATTTCTTCACACGTAGGGTCATCCACGAGTCGATTGATGTGTTGAAGAAGCTCATTGTTTCCCTTGTTGAAGCTTGAAATAAGACAAGTAGGGGATCTTGAGGGATTGGTCTGTCCTTCTACTGTTGGAAAAAGAGTAAGTAGTAACTTGAAGCTTCCTTCCCAGAGGCCAATGGGAAGGAGGAGTTGTTGGTAATAACTTAGCTCTCCACTTCCCTTTTAATGACGGGGTCAGTGACAGTCATGTTAATTAGTCAGCCCGCTCTATTCACCATTTCCCATCGACACACTACCGATCCCCGAAATAGAAACCTCACTGATCTTACCTTTCTTAATGTGGGTAGGATGGGTCGGGGGGGGGGGGGGGGATAGACATGTCACTCCTCTTTCCATGAGCCTGCTTAAGCTCTAACTTGGAAACCTTGCCAAGATCGATCCTCATCAATTTTCTAGACTTCCATCTATCCCACTCTTTATGTTGCTTATCTCTCGGAGTAACCCCTTGATATTCTCCCATCCCCGGAGAATATCATGATTTTTAGGTTTAACCTTAGCTGCCTTACTAAGGTCCTTATATGCTTCTTCAACCTGGAAGAGCTTAGCCTCTGCTAAGGCCCTTCTGTAGAAAGCTTTTGCATTACAACCATCATACTTAATGACTAAGGAGTAGAGTTCATGATCATGCACTTGAAAAGCACAAGTTGCAAGGTTTAATTCCAAAGTAATTGCAAGATTCCAAAATAAATTATTGTCCTCCCCATTTTTAGGAGAAACAAAGCAAAGGAATTTTAGACCTATGTCATACCTTGCTCCCGCATCAATAACCTTACCCTTTTTAAAGTAGGCATTACCTTCTTCTTTTAGGAACTTGACATGGTGAAGGATATTACGGGAACAATTATTTGAAGTGAATTCAACAATACTATCATCATAGTCATCATTTAGGTGAATGACCATGAGATCATTTATTAAGGATTGACACTCCATTGATAAACCGAAGAAAATAAGAAAAAAAAAAACAACTAAGACAAAGCAACGGGAGCCTTACATAGACTACCTAGACAACGTATAGAAGCGGCTAAGAACGGTGGTGGTGATATGTCACGAGACCCGGCTAACTCAGCCACAACTAAGGAGAGGACACTGCCACGACAGCTAGGAACACTGTCATAAGAATGGCGACCAGGTTTTTCTCCGTCCAAGCGAACCCACTTCGACCTCAAAAGCGGGACCTCGCTGAGACCCAAATACGAATAGCTCTTCGCTGGCAATCGAAGAACAACATTAGAGTGGAGCTAGAGAGGGGGCGGTACACCAACGATCGAGGAGAAGGGCCACCCACTCCGATCGTCGGCATACCGATGAATTAAACTAGAAAACTTAGGCGGAGGAAACTAAGTTATGTAACCTAAAATAATTTAGGAAAACTAATAGTAGAAGTTCCTTGTCTATACAGTCCGATCCTCATATTACCCAGCAATTACCGTAAATTCATTTGTCTTTAAATAAAGGTCTTGCACAATAAAAATTGAACTTTATCTACTAAAACTTATAACTCTTAGTGCATAGCGCCTATTTGTATCTGTTTTGATACAAAAAGGATGCTAAGGGCCTATTCCGATTTACTGAAAACAACTAAACTGAAGTGAATTAAACTGATTGGAATTGAAGTAAATTGAATTGAACTGAACTAAACTAAACTGATTGGAGCTAAACTAAACTGAACTGAAATATTTTCTTATGGATTAATGATTTTTGACTATGCATTAGTTATGATATTAATCAACTAATAATAATTCTGAAAAACAAAATGAAATTAAAATTTAATCCACTAATAATTTTTTTGTTTAAATTTTTTTATTTTCATGTTAATTAATGCATGTAAAATTAATCTATTGTAATGGTTTGGCTGTTAAAAAAAAAAAAAAACAAACTAAAGAAAATGATGAAGATCATAATATGTACGATGAAATTAGGAAAGCAACATTGGACAATGTACAACAACATATAACTGATTAGATAAGACAACCAATTAAGAGGAATCCCGTGGTAATGGAGCAGCTTGATGGGCAAGAAGAAGAAGAAGAACTAACCGATTATAAAATTAGCAACTACTCCGTAATACTTTCATTTTGCCAAAGAGTTCAATTGTAAAAATGTGTATAAAAATTATAACCATTAGAAAAATAATTATTATTATTACCAAAGAGTTCAATTGTAAAAATGTGTATAAAAATTATAACCATTATTATTATTATTATTATTATTATTATTATTATTATTATTATTATTATTATTATTATTATTAGGAAAAATTAGCCGCAACAACAACAACTATGATAAAGGTGCGTGTAGCAGCACAACCTTTTAAGGGTGCGTTGTACAGCATAAACTATGTAATTGGGTGCACATATTAGCATAAATGACACTAATAAACTAAGGTTCCACGGAAAAAAGTGGAATCTTTATTATTTTATATAATTGTTTAAACATTATTTAAACTTATTTGATTTTCTATCATGCGTGACTAAATTAGTCTTACCTTCTTTATTTTTTTTTTATTTTTTTTTCAGTTAAGCATTTCTTAACCTCCACCATTATATTAGGCGGATTCTTTCAAAAATAAAATTGTGCTATTATTTTCCTTTGTTCGCTTCTCCAATTACTTTTTCTAATATCGATCTCACATGATTGACTTAGTTTCCTTTCCCTTTTCACTTAGTTAAATACTATTTGATAAATAAAAAAAATAAAAAAAAAATCATTTGAATACTTTTATTCTAAAAGATTTCAGGATACATAGATAACTTTCTAATATCAAATAAATGATTTTAAATACTTAATTCAAAAAATAATTTTAGAATTGGATTTCAGGAGAGGACCTTGTAAAATCAACACAGACATCACGACCATGATACCATGAATAAAGTAACACATATTATTATTATTGTTGAGTGGAATCCGCAAATGGAGTGACCTTCATGAAATATATATATGCCAATTTTTTCATGAGTCTGGGGGCAGCGATCTCACTAGGGTTACTCATTAGGTCAGTCTCCACAGTCCTGTTAAAAAGACTAAGAGCACCATCGAAAGCCGGTCCTAGACTAACAATACCAGAATTGCTAAGAAGCGTAGCCTGAAGACCAAAAGACTGTAGACGCGACGCAAGGAAAGCATAGTGTCAAACATCACCTGCCGAATAGACACCCAAACCATCATAAGCAAAAGGTAAGGTGGCAAGCTGCCATTTCCAATCACCAAAACCAGGCCCCGAAACAGTAACAATGCGCTCCAAAGAAGCCCAAAGGGCCACATTTAAAGAAATTTATGCCATTTCAAAAATACGAGGAGGACAAGTGTGCATGGCAAAGTACAATTTCGAAACCCCAATACACACACGAAGAAGAAAAAATTCGCATTAGGGATCATCGAGCTTAGCAAAAACATTCATTAGCACAATGGTCTTCGACATTGTCTGCGTAACAAGCTCACCATAGAAAGAGGAATCATCACTGACAGGACTACTCAGCAACTTAACGCCATGTACAGGACGACCAATATCAGGAGGAAAGACACCCACGAGACAGCTACGAGGTTCCTCCGAGGGCTAGAAAACTTCTGTTTTCTCAATGTTGACATGGAGTCCGAGACGAGGAACCCCCACCAAAATCAAATCCAAAACCTTTCGTACCACTAAGGTGTCACCAATAATAGTGTCGTCATCTAAATACCAAGCATGAAAACATAAATCAAAAGAATCCCTAACATGACCATAAGGTATGCTCCCCGTAAAAGGCAAAGGGCCTAGACGATCACCCTGCTGCACCCCCTAACATGACTATAAGGTATGCTCCCCGTAAAACAGCCTAGCTGGAGTAGAGTAACAAAATTCAACCCATCACAAGAGATCTGGATAACGGAGGCGAACCTCACGCAACAAAGCCGAACGGTCTACCAAATTAAAAGCATTCTGAAAATCCCCAGCAACATAGAAAGGACAATA